CAAAATCAGATCTGGTGTTTGTAGATAAAAATGTTGTGCTTCCTTGTATTAATTCAGAGTCTTAGATCTGATAAAGGAATATTATCAGCCAAAGGTATGCAGCTCTGTTATGCAGCCAGTTGTTAGAAGATTACATCTGGATACAAACTCACTTTGGAGAATTTTCAAATATGAAAAGCTAATTGAAGAAGATGGGGGAAGCTTCCCCTCCCTTAATATGAAGTCATCTAGTTCATTCTGTAGGAAGAAACAATAGGACAGCGTAATTTTGAGACTGGGAGGAAAAGAGATTGAGAGAGTCCCAAAATGTTGTTATTTGCTGTCAGGTTGCTTCCAGCTCATGGTGACCCCATGAATGAATGCTCTCCAGAATGTCCTGTACTCAGCTATCCTGCTCAGCTCTTGCAAACTCAAGCCTGTGGCTACCTTTAGGGAATCAGTCCATCTCATATTTGGTATCCTACTTTTCCTGCTGCCTTCCACCTTTCCCAGTATTATTGACTTTTCCAGATAATCCAGCCTTCTCATGTTCTGCCCAGTGTAGAACAGCCTCAGCTTCAACATTTTTGTCTCCATCTGCCCAGCTTCAACATTTTTGTCTCCAAAGATAGTTTGGCCTTGATTTGATCTAGGACCCACTTGTTTGTCTTTCTGGCACTCCAGGGTATCCGTAAAGCTCTTATCTCTCTCTCTCTCTCTCTCTCTCTCCCTCTTGTTTTTCTAAAATAATTTTTATTTCATTTTCCATTGAGTAGAGGAAAATCATAGGGAAGGGGATTTAGAACAGGGTACAGGGGTAAATAAAGAAATACAGAATGTGATAAAGAATAACCTATATCATTATTACTTTTGCCAAAATGTTTTCTTACTAAGCGTACTTCGCACGTATCTTGCCATTTTTTCTAAACTTTTAAATTCTACAATTACATCTTACATCTTCTTTCTCATAACTTTAACACATTCATGTTCTCATCCAATCATACAGAGGGTCCCACTTTTCCCTAGCCTCAACCATTTCTTCGTCTTTTAATACTTCAGTTAAAGAGGGTCACACTTTTCCCTAGCCTCAACCATTTCTTTGTCTTTTAATACTTCAGTTAAAATATCCATCTTAGCTACTTGGAACATTTTTTCTATTAAGTCCTGCATTATTCTGCCAACCTAGCAGTTCGAAAGCACGCAAATACGAGTAGATAAATAGGGACCACTTCGGTGGGAAGGTAACAGCGTTCCGTGTCTAAGTCGCACTGGCCATGTGACCACGGAAGATTGTCTTCAGACAAAATGCTGGCTCTATGGCTTGGAAACGGGGATGAGCACCGCCCCCTAGAGTCGAACACGACTGGACAAAAAAATTGTCAAGGAGAACCTTTACCTTTACCTGTATTATTCGAGTCTCTTCTTTTTTCCAGTATTTAGCATATCAAATTCTTGCTGCTGTAGTTACATGTATAATTAGGTATCTTTTTTCTTTTTCTATCAAATCTGGTATTATATTCAACAAAAACAGTTCAGGTTCATATGGAATTACAGAGGATAACATTTTTTGTAAAAACTCATGGACTATTTCCAAAAGCTCTTAACTTCCCTACAAGTCCACCACATATGATAAAAACTACCTTCTTTTAATTTTCATTTCCAACATTTGTTAGAGGTACTCTAATATATTTTCAATAATTTACATGTGTCATATACCATCTATAGAACATCTTATACATATTTCCTTTATAATTAATTGCTTTTGTTAACTTAATATTGTCCTCCCATATTTGTGACCATGATTTTAAGTTAATATTGTGACCCACATTTGTGACCATGATTTTAAGTTAATATTGTGACCCACATTTTGGACCCATTTAATCATAGATTCTTTAACTATTTCATCTTGCATTTTTAATCCTAGTAGATAATTATACAACATTTGGGTCAGGTTTTCTATTACATTCAGAAGTATCTTATCTAATGGTGTTTGTTCCTTACAAAAGCCTATTGTTTTGTCTCTTGTATATTTTGAATCTATTTGTGTTTTTGTCCACCAGTCTATTATACCTTATTCTTCTAATTCTTTCCTTGATTTCATACTTAAATCTTCTTTTAACAAATCTCTGTATCTCAAGAGCTTATTCATTTCCATTAATGTTGGTTGAGTGAATGCTTCCATTGGCGAGACCCATTCAGGTCCTTTTTGGTAATTTTCTTCGCGAATCTTAGTCCCTACACAGTTTAAAGCTTTCCTTATCAAGTGGTTCTTAAATTTATTATCGTTTGCTTTTTGATACAACAGGAAGACGTGCCATCCTAGGTTTAAGTCATGTCCTTCTAGTTTTAGTATTCCGTCATTTTCTCAATGCAAAGCTTTTCTCCAGGATCACATATCAAAGGAACAGTTTTTTCTGTCTGTTTTCTTAAACGTCAGCTTTCACACCTGTACGTGGCGATCAGCAATACTAGAGTGTGGATGATCTTGGTCTTTGTCTCCAGTGACACATCCTTACATTTGATGATCTTTTCTAATTCCTTAATTGCTGTCCTTCCAAGTTTAAGTCTTTTGATTTCTTGGCTGCAGTCCTAATTTAGATCAATGATTGAACTAAGGTATACAAAATCTCTATTTCAATTTCTTCCTTGTCAATGTGTAGTTTTTCTGTAGTCATGTTTTTGGTCCTCTTAATGTTCAACTGCAGTCCGACTTTGGCACATTATTCTTTAACCTTCCCTAATAGTTGTTTCAAGTCATTGCTATTTCTTTCAAGACAGCCCATAGTTTCTCGTGATCTACACAATCAAAGACTTTAAAGTACAGTATAATAGAAACTAAATAAAGTATAGACTGATGTTATGAAATTCTTTGGTGTTCTCCAGTAGCCAGGGGTTATGATCTCGAATACTGTACCTCTTCCTTTTTGAAATCCAGCTAGAACATCAGGCTCTATACAGTATAAGGTGAAAGCCTTTGTTGCAACACCTTGAGCATCAATTTCCTTGCATGAAAAATTAAAGCAGTGGTCCTTTAGTTACTGCACCCCTTAGCATTTCCGTTCTTAGGGACTAGAATGTATATTAAGCATTTCCAGTCTGTGGGCCATTATTTTGTTTTCCATATTTGTTGGCATAATCTTGTTAGGATTTTGACAGATTAAATCTCTGTGGTTTGGAGCAGTTCTATCAGTATTCCATCTACCCCAATGATTTTTTTCCTAGTGCTTTCAGAGGAGCTTTAATTTCACTTTCTAGAACTGCAGGTTCTTCGTCATAGGCTTCCTCTTCAAAAGAGTCTGTCATCCTTTTGTCTCTTCTGTATAGTCACAGAATAGGGTGATATAATTTTGCATATGTGCATCTACCTTCTTCACTAATATCAGGCAGGAGAACTCAATGGAAGGAGGAAATTTTTTACCTCAGCAAATTTCTGAAGAAAATGAGGGTGGGTATTACAAAGTCTGCTGCCATTTGCACTTACAGGACAATGAAATATGCGCCTATCCATTTTGTGAAGTAAGAGTCAAGCTGTAGCATGTGTGACAGAGTGCCTGTTTAATGAGTTTAAAAACCTGTCTTTCTGTGGTTGCAATCTTATGCAGAGTTATCTGAGAATCCATTCAATACAGTTCAGTACAACCGGATTAGCCATCCATGTGCAGCATGTCTGAAAGTGTTGTTTTCCCCTCCTATTGATTATAAGTTTCTTCATTTACTTTGAAGCAGGTTCATAAACAGCACCCATTCTTCATTTAGTAATCACAAAATTCTTATTCTTTCCTCATTCCTATTTTGCTCAGCTAATTTTGAGAATCAGCACTTCAACAAAGATTGTACAGTATCAAGTTATAAATTCACTGCTATGTAACATATAGCTGGCTAGGCAGCTCAGAAGTTAGCTTGCAAGTTCGATTCCTCACTGTGCCCCCAGCAAGTAGAACCACCCTGTGCCGCCATGAGCAAGTCCCGCAGTCCCAGGAAACTTCAGAAGGGAATGGTAAACCACTTGTGAATACTCCCTTCCTGCAAAGGGCAACCCAAGTCAGAACTGACTTGGCGGCACATGATTATGATGTAACAAGGGACAGTATATACATTTCGATGTTTTTGTACCCTCCCAAATGCTGTTACAGTCGGATTGCAACCTGTGAAGCTTTGCAACACCCAGTCGCCTGATATTATATGCGATATATATATATATATGCAACGTTTTATTTACAGCGACTTCCGAAATAAAAGCTAATGTGAGCATGCACCTAACCGTCATCTGTGGGAAGTACCGCTATATAGATCTCACAGAAACGTAGGAGATCGCGTTCATTTTTTTGTACATGTGCATTTAAACGGGCTACATTTTGGCGATCGCCCAGCGTCAGACTTTTCCCATGCTTTTTTTTTAAAGCATAAAGCCCCAGCAGATGGCGTGCCAGGACTGAAAATATCCACGCAGCGTTCTCCTTCTTCCGCTTTCCTTTTCACGACCGAAGACAGATTCAGACAGGTGATTTTTGAGTCCAACGCATGCGCCTAGCCAGGGCACCCTGCTAACCTCGTTCTGTTTTTATCGGCGCGGCACCCCTTGGTCTGGAAAACATCGCGCCCTCTCTTACCCTGACGTTCCGTTAGCAGGTGGGAGTAAATCCACCGACTTCCGGCAATAATCCCGCCCTTTTCCAAGAAGTCCTACAACGCATGCGTAGTCGGTGTGCCCCACGAAGAAGCAGTTAATTTTTTTTTTCGTTAGCTGATTCGCGCCGGGCGGGTGGACTCCCTCCCTCCCTTCCTTCCTTCCCCTCCCGGCGATGTGGGCGCGCTTGGCGGCGGCGGCGCCAGTAGTAGGAGCAACAGCAGCAGCAGCAGCAGCGGGAGCAGTCGTGGCTCGGGTTCCTGCGTGGGGTTGAACGGCTGGCCCCCGTGGGGCGCGCCAAGATGGCGTGTGTGCTGGAGACGCCGCTCCGCATGAGTGTCCTGTCGGTGAGTGGAGGCCCTGGGGACGCTCAGGGGCTACGGTAGCGCGGCGGCACCTGCGAGTCCGGGCGAAGGAGGTCAGGCAGGGCGTCCGTCGGAGGCTTGCTCTCCCCTGCCATGCCCGGCGGATTTATTCGGAGCGCGTCCCGCCTTCGCTGGATGCCCGTCCCATTTTCTCCTTCAGCCACGATGGAGCTCGCCGCCTCCCTCCCGCCCCGCGCGAATAATAAGGCGTGTGTGACACCCAAGCCCCCCCCCTCTATGTGCAGTGACCCCCTGTTTCGTTTCAGAGAGATTTCTGTGGGCAGGAGGGGGGGCAGGTTTTCCTTCTGCGAGGAGAATAAGAATTGCTGCACATTAATCTTTGCTCAGATGTTTCAGGTCACGGTGGCAGGAGCCCGCGTTTCATTGATGGGCAGGATTTTGTGAGAATGCATAATTTTCCAAGCTTCATTTAAGAAATAAATTCCAGCTCTTTATTGTATCTTCTTGATTTTCTTCAACATAGATGCCAACTCTAACAGGAGCATACTTTCTGAATAGAATAGAATTATGCACAGCAATTAAGTATAGATCAGTAGTTTTTTTTTTAAAAAGAAATTGGGTTTCCCCCCCTCATGTCTTGCTTAGATAATGAGTGCAGGATGTTAGGGAATGAGAGTGCTGTAGTATACAGTATTTAGGATGCAAAGGAGAGCAGAGGTCCTACATGTCTAATAGTTGTGGAAGAAGTAGATTCAAGCATCACCTGCTGCAGTTCCTTCTGTGGGCAATCAGAGGTGCAGGAGCCCTCTCCTATTTTGTATTCTTCCACTTTTAGCACTATAGAGTGTCCATTTAGTGAACTTTCTTATGATCCCTTTGCAATCCTATGTATGTTTGTTTAGAAGTGAGCCACGCTGTTTTCTACAGGTCTTGGTCCCATGAAAGTCATTATAGGATTGTACATAGTTGAAATCTTTTTTCTGTAGTCTTGACTGATCAGCCACATATTGTGCGTGTGAACACTGCTTTTCATCATACTGTTATATCATCCTTTTGCCACATTTGTGATGGTCATGCTGCAGTTCACCAGTCATTCCTGACATCACCCACTAAAGTTGTCAGATTTAGACTCATTTAAGAAATGTGCTTTTGGTAGAATTCCGTGGGGGTTCTGTTTCACTGTGTTACAGAAATTGTCACCTAACTTAGGATACGTTCCCAGCCTTTGAGCAGATCTGTCCTCTTAATTATTGCTAGTATTCTTCATAAATTGTTGTCATTTGTCTCTGAAATATTCAGATGCTGCATTCAGTGGATCAGCGCTGTCTCTATGGTTGTTAATTCTTCACATGTTCAGTCGCATATTGGTCGGTTGCATGTTAAACAATATTAACCACTACTAATAGGAAGTGAGTTGTTAAAGCCCATACAAAAGAACAGGATGTAGGTGTGATTAAATCTGAATTGAAGTTTGTGGCATAAACAAGCTGTCTACATATTTCACTTTTGTAGAAGATGGATGGGAATGTTGGATTTAGCTTGTCTCTTGTATGTGCCCTTTTTCTCTGGCTTGCTGTTGGCTTACATATTTTTAATTCTAGTACTTAGTATATTCTTATATCTGTCTTGGGTGTAAAAATAAGTCATGGGCACTGTTTCTGTATGTGTGTATTTAGTAAAATGGTAGGCCTCTCTAGATATAGTACTACAGAGCATGTAGGGATAGGTTTTCCTGCAAGTGGTTGATAGAAAGCGTCTGACCATGTGACAACACTTTCTGGGGTTAAAAAAACTTTGCAAATATCATGTCTACAAGAATGTTTTGACTGCCAAAATCACCTGTAATCTGAACTTCACATTGGTAGTTCTATAGAGAGAAAGCCGCATTTAATTTAAAAGCTGGGGAAACCGAGTTAAACAAACTTCTATAAAGCTTTGAAGTATAGTGTTTTGTTTATTATTCTGTTAAAAAATTAATGTAAGAGCATCTTAAACAGCTTCTCAGTAAAGCACAGGGTGGAGTAATCTCCATGGGGCTAATGATGTGCTGAGCCAATTACTCTCAAAGGTGTTACACACCTTGTTGGTTCAAACAACTCCCCTTTGCCACTTCTCTTTTTTAACCTGTGTTCTGGCACTACTGCTACAGTAACCTTGAATCATCATTTTTAAGACTGCTGTTTTGAACAGCCAGATGGAAATTCCAAAAGGAAGTGGTAGATTAGTCTTGTAACCCTTTTATATGTTTATCGTTATAAGAAAATATCCATTGCAGAGAGAGGGAAAAAGGCATAACTTGGAAATATTGCTATGTGCTGTCAATTCACTTTCAATTTATGATGCTACTAGTACTGGTTTTGAGATATTGGAGATGTTTAAGAACTGATTTACCAATGTCACCCCCAGTGAAATTCTGTGGCCAAGCAGGGGCTTTAACCCAGATCTCCTGAGTAGTGTTCTGACATTCTACCACAACATGACACTGGTTCTCAATAACTTGAATTTTAGACCATGTTCATTCATTTGTTGTTATTCAATAGCCACTCAGACTTTACGCATATTAAAAAAATTAAAACTGCAAAGACAATATTTGTTAATGTTCTGTATCAGTGCTGCTTTTTTTGTAAGAAGCTATTTAGCTGGTGATATGGACTTCAGTTCCCCTCTGTGCCTCTTGGGAGTAGAGCCAGCCTGTGTGGCCCTGGGGAAGCTGCGCTGTATACTTCTGCTAACTGATCTTTACCTAGAAAACCCTGATATCGGTTGCCATAATTTACAATTGACTTGACAGCACATCATCATCATCATCATCATTATTATTATTATTATAAATGGCAACTTATTTTGTGGTTAAAATATGGAGAAAGGTCTCTCTCTCTTACCACCTTTAGTGCTGGAGCTGATTTTGAAGTTGTCTGGGTGGTTTTGCATTTGAATACTGGTAGAAACTTGCACGTTTCTTGTCTGCTCCATAATAGCTAGTTGAAGGTCTAACAAAACAGTGATTTTTTATATATATCTTTTCTCATAGGGAGTAATATTACCTACTGTCCCAAAAGACAGTATTTCTAGGAATTAGTGGGCTCATTTAGGCAGTACAGTATTCCTGCATGAGACCCCTAGGCAACAGCATGAAGTAGTAGCTGTACTACGCAAGTTCTGAGGGCTGAAAAATATTTAAAATTTGTATGTCAGCCTCAGAATTTCCAAGCTGCTTTGGCAACCAGTCTTTTATGTTACTTATTGCCTTTATATAGGGCACCTAACAAAATTATTCTCTGGATAGCTCACCAGCATCTGATAACAATTACAGTATTTTCTTTTATGGAGCCTACTTTAAGTAATCATACTTAAATAACATACTTAAAGATAGATATAATCTATATACTCTATATACATTTGAAAAGTGTGGATATTTATCACTATTCATAATGAAAGGGGGAAAACTCAATTTTTTTCTTTAAAGACATGTTTCAAATAGTAATTCTTAAAGATACAGTACCTAATTTTATGTAGATGAAATAACTGCAATTTCTGCCTCTGTGCAGTCATTCATATTGAATGGTGAGTTGGTCTTGAGTGAAGCAAGAGTGTGTAAAGCAATAGATATTGATTTTAAATTGCTTTGTAGGAAACCGTCAAGACGCTTACTAGACTTGTCAGTAGGAAATGAATTATGAAGGACAAGTATCTCTCAAAAATAGGTGGGCAATCTGTTTTGATGTTCCAGTGCAATATGGATCCTGACTTAGAGGTTATATTCTCTGTCCATGTGGTCCAGCAGTAAAGCTGAACAGGATTGGCTGTTGTCCCATGTTAATAGAGTTTGCATACTGGAAGATCGCTCAAAGTTCTGTTCCTCAATAGCAGTCAGTATGGACAGAATTCCTTGAAAGCAGCAGGTTGCGCAAGCTAGTGGTTTGCTTACTGCCTAACATCTCAGTCCTTTGCATGTCCAGTGCACAGTACAGGATCAGGGGGTCTGTAATAGGGCATGCTACAAGGTACAATTCCTCTGAAGCCAACATGAACAAAAATGGATTATTTGCTGTCATTTTAAGATTGTAGTTTCTACAGATTCTAGAAAATCTTACACAAAGGTTTGGGTGGCCTGTTGACTGTGGGTGGAGCCTGTGAGGAAGGGCATCTTCCATGAGTCAAGCTTTAACCTTGAAGCTGTTGTTAAAGAAGAGGTCCTTCTATAATGTGCATAGCTAAAAGTAGTCCAGATTTTGTTTTGTTTAGAGATCAATGCTGAGTCCAGTTTTCTAATACTGACATTATAGCAACTTTCTATTTTATGTTTAACATAGTCCTTGTAGCTCATCTTCTTAGTGTTATACAAAGTTTGTGTGTTGCAGTTAGGCCGGGGATGAACAGGCCATAGACCTGAGGGATCTACATTCTTTCTGTTAGCATTCTTTAAGAGCCACCAATGAGAGTTAGGTGAAGAAGACGTAAGATGAAATTCAACAAGTGTTGCATCCCATGAAAGGCTTGTATCAGTGAAGGAGAATGAATAAAATTTTCCTCCAGCTTCTGTACTTCTCATCTTCCATAGGTTTGGAGGTACTGTGATCAGGAAAAGATAAAGAAGGAATTTCTACTGCATGTGGAGACATTCACTCTCAGAATATTGGATGTTATCTACAGTATTCAGTTGCTGCTAAAGAATTCTGAACCAGAAATATGTTTAGAATAGAGTTTATAATCCTGCTTAAAATCCTGTTCTTCATTACCCTTGTTTTTCTTAATTTCTGTAGTGCAATTTAGGATAATTTATTCATTCACATCTAGTCTTCATTATAAACAAGGCTTCCATAGCCTCATTGGTAGAGATGAAAAAGAAAAACATGAGTATCAAATGTAGCTTGTCTTTGTGGTGACATAAAATCCCCAAACTGTGGATGATCTCCTCTCTCTCTCTCTCTCTCTCTCTCTCTCTCTCTCTCACACACACACGCACGCACGCACGCACGCACTCTAAAATCCCCAAACTGTGGATGATCTCTTCACACACACACACACACACACCCAAGTTTCATGTAAGTGTAAATAAGAAACCGTGAG